TCCCGTCCCGTCCCGTCCCCCTGCGGCCGCGGCGCTGGTGACCGGAGGCTTATCCGGAGGGGTATTGCGGGCCCTCGCTGATTCGTTTGCTCCCGCCCGAACGCTGCTGTGTGAGCGTGCAGCGCTAGCGAAAATCGGGGTGCAGGGGTTGGCCTGGCGTCTCCTTACGCCTGTCTTACGCGTGTAAGGTGTGCGGCAGAGATCGGTGCCGTTATTTATGCGTGGGAGGCTCCTGCTGTAAGTATTTGCAGGATTAGGAACAAAAATACATGCATTGCTTCCTGCCGTCTGTTATAATCAAACCCCGCGCACGTTTTCTGGAGCTGAGGGTTCCGCTTGTGTGCTTAGAGCGGTGATGGAAGAACAAGCAGAAGACCTTGAGCTTGCATGTGGGCATCGGACAGGTGTGACTTCATAAGCTTGAAGGAAGGGGAAAACATGGCTTTGCACACAAGGCTGGGAAGGTGTTGGTTCCTCTGTGCACGTTCAGTTGCCACAAGGCAGTAAGGAGCGTACTGCCGGCTGAGATGGGTGGGTTGGGCGAAATAGTTAAGCACAGTTCACCCTGTGTGTTTTCTTCCTGTGACTGTTGAGTGGGAGAAGAAAGAATGGGGGCACGTTTGGGAAGATGCCACTTTGCAACAAGAGCGATCCTTGAGGCCGCTCTCCAGCAGCGATGCCAGTCCATTTTCAATACAGCTGGACCCTCCTTGCTCTCAAAACCATTTACGGGCAAGTTTACTGCATTGCTTTCAAAACATCACGATAGTCCAAACCTACTTAATACTGCTTTAATTTCAGCTGTTCAGTGCCCTGGGTCTGAGCAGGCTGGGTGGTCTCACTTGTCCAGGTGCTGAAGGCTGGTCCGGGCCAGCAGCGGTTTCGGAGTGGATAGGGCAGCTTCTGTCCCTGCCGAGAGCTCGATTTCATCTTGAGTGAGATAGCTGATACTGTGTGTAGCTACAAGCAACTCAACAGTTGTGCTCCTGTGCTAATATGTTAATAGAGAAAATGAAGAACTAGTGAAAGTTGGGGCTTTTTTCCAGTTGTTGGCTTCAAGATTTTCAGCAAAGCAACAGCAGAAAGCTTTGAATATTGAAAGGTCAGAAGATGGGGCTTTTCTGATATCCACTCTGAACAGTCCAGGGGCCTTTATGGCTGTATGAGCTGGCTGCAATTTCAAAAGCCAGCTTCTTTAAAAGTTTCTGAATCATAAGTTGTTATTTCAAAATATGCTTCCAGATGTGTCATGTTTTAGGAAGATCAGAATTTATCCCGTAAGGTGACTTAACTTTTCTCCCCTCTTTAATCCTGTGCTTGACTAAGCTTGTGGAAATTCAAATTTTAGGAATGTGCAGCCTCCTGTGCGAGAACAAGTGACTTCATGAGCGGAGGGTGAGGGATGGATGGAAAACCAGTAAATGATTTACAGCGTTATGGCTCCTCTTGCACTTTGTGCCTTCAGTTTAGATTTTCTGGCAAAATCTTTGGTACATTTAGAGATTATGACCGAATGCCCATACTGTGACTCCACAGTTAGTTACTATGTCATATTCAGTGCACTTTTATAATATTTACCCTGGTAATAAAAAGCAGGGCAAGGGGAATTCGTGGTTCTAGGTTAAGGGTGTTTTTGTCCAATCTAGGCCCCTGCCGGCTGTAGGAATGAGTACCTGTCTTCTGTTAGAAAGCTTCGGGCCTTTTAGGGTTGGCAGTATTTGTTTTAGCAAGTTTAAGCCAAGGTAAACATCCACAGTTCTGCTATTACAGGCACAGCGAGGGTGTTAACTGGTTCTGGCAAAGTCTGATACTGTTTATTGTATAACAAAAATACTACAGAAAGTCATAAACTACCCATTATTTTCTTGCCAGGTGATGAATCAGACCTGGCAAGCTCAACAAGTGGTCTTGGCGCTGTTACTTCTTCCAGGCAGTGAAATTTCAAAAAGGCTGGATGACTGTATATCTGGTCTTGGGAATTTGCATTAATCCCCTTTCAGTGATTCCACAGGAACATCACAGCTAGTTTGAACACACAAAATGTCATTTTCTTGTATCGGTTTATAGTGCACGCTATGAAATGCTTCATATTTCCAACTGTCATAGTAATGGCTTAGGCCTTGTTTGCATGGAAGAAAATCAGTGCAAGTCTTCCGGTATAAGTGAATTATTCCAAAATACATGGACGCTATTCTGGCATAGATTGCGAAGAGATCTGTTCCAAAGCAGTCTAGTCTGCGACAGCATTCCTTGTCAGGTTTTATGTAGATAAGGTCTTGAATTTGATTTCACAACTTGTCTGTGTGTCCTGCAGGAAGCTATTGCATATCGCATTTGCTGAAGGATGTTGTGTCTGTCGAAAAGCAAAATTCAGATTATTTGGTACCCTGTCCATTTTATCCTGAAGGACAGACCAGGAGTCATGCTTTGTAAAACGGCCATCTAAGGGTACTCCAGATGCTTACCCTTGCAGTACCTGAAGCTGCTCTGCATTGTGTGCTGTAATACCTGCTGATTTTCTCAGTCAGTTGCGTGTATGTACCTGTTGATAGGCTTGGGTTTACAGATCCACAAATCCTGCTCTTTCATCTGGGCTCTGCACCATTTTGCTTGAAAATTTTCCTGGGAATTATAGGTGTGATTGCAGAGCAGGATTTGTCACGGTGCTGAGAGCAGTGAATGAAGACTTGCTAACAGTAATCCATGCAGGCTCTATACAGGTGTTAGTGCACAATAACTTGCTGATGATAACCATGTAGCAAAACCTCTCTGGTCCCTATGCATCACTGGAGGGCTTTGCGTGTCAGCTGCATGCACATGCATCTCCTTGCCAATATTGTACTCAGAAGCCATCCTGATAAGGAGCAAGAAATTCACTCTTGATGTGGGTCTTGGACCATTATGTGACCTCCAGTTTGCTTTCTGAATTTTTTTTAACTTCAAACACTGTGCTCGAGGAACACATCTCAAATGAATGCCAGTCTCTTATTTTAAACCACCATTTTTACTATGCAATCTTTCCATTCCTATTGCTCATCTCAGTGTAGTATTTGAGTATCTCCTAAGCACTCCTGGGTTTATTATATTTTTTGCTCAGTAAGAGAATGACATCCAAATTTCAGATCTTGGTTTACTCATTATTATTTAGCTTCCTGAAAGCAAATGTAGGGCAATTAAACCTTTTATGTTGAAATTACGAATTTCAGATGTGGGATTCTTTCCAAAAGCCGGTAGTGTTCCTCTCATTTTCTCAGTTGGCTGAACAAGAATTATTTTAAATGAACCATACAACAGATGTCCTCTGTCGTTGTTGTCTTTCAGGTTATTAAATGCAAGGCTGCTGTTGCCTGGGAGGCAGGTAAACCTCTCTCTCTTGAGGAGGTGGAGGTTGCTCCACCAAAAGCTCGTGAAGTTCGTATCAAGGTAATTAAATCAATCGTTAGCTGTATGCGTTGTATTTTGGGAGACTAAGTATTAAAGCTGAACAGTTTGTTTACCAACAGAAGAAATGTTGAATGGGTAGCATTAGTTCATTAGGATCTCAGCTGGCTTTACAAAGGAGAAAATTACAGTATTTAGATCTTCTGTTCATGAAAAACACTTTTAATTTCTACTGGTCTCACTTCACAGTCTGGTCTAAAGATCATGGCTAGTCTTGGGGGTCAATTCCAGTTGTTACAGACTGAGCTTCCACAAAACATCTGAGCTAGGAACACCTTTGATCTTGCTGGAAGGGCAGCAGCTTGTGACCTGTTGCAGCTGTGTAACACGCTGGATTTTACTTCAGTCAGGCCGTAAGTTACTGGCTGCTAAGCTGTGATTGGTCTCTTGGCTTCCCCATACCCAAGTTTCTGATTTGATCAGGACTTTACAGTAGCCCGTGTCTGCCAAAAAGTATACATTAAGGTGAAATTTATCTCTGTGGAAAGGGTCTCTGCATGGTGCTTAAGACTTCAACTGGATTTGTGCAGTACTGAGAGTTCAGTGTGGTCTCTCTGGTCATTTTACCTTTGAGAGACTAACTCATTTCAAATCTGGGATGCCAACCTACTTTGAGATGACTTGGAGTACTGATTTCTAGCTTTAGGAAACCAGATGTCATCTTCTGCCTGTTTCAACGTCAGAATTTAGTTGATGGAAATGAGAAAAGATGTACTATCATGATTTTACTTTTTCAAAGTAAGAAAAAGTGCCTTGTCTTGGCACTCCTGTGCCTTGCCAGGAGTGAAAGTAGGTTGGCCGTATCACAAACGCTGCCAGGATTGGCAAATTTGTCCCGGCAATTGTTCTGAATTTCTGACCAAAGGGAAGTATTTAGATCTGTGCTACTATTCTGTTCTTCAAGGTGCCTCAGAATATGTATTTCTTCAGATAGTTGCCACTGCTGTCTGTCACACTGATGCCTATACTCTGAGTGGTGCTGATCCTGAAGGATGTTTCCCTGTGATCTTGGGTCACGAAGGAGCAGGAATTGTAGAGAGTGTTGGGGAAGGAGTAACAAAAGTAAAGCCGGGTAAGAAAATGTCTTACAAGTTTTCTGCCTTCCTTACAAGTGCTACTTTACTACAAGGTCAACTGTCAAATTGGGCCACTGAAATGCTATATTGCAGGAGTTAATATAATGTCTTATTCTGGGGTGTATGCATGTGTAGATTTCTCTTGTCTGCAAGATACAACACTAACCTATTCAATGTGCTCTTTGTTTAATGCTTGAAAGAGCCCAGCATACCAATTTCTTACTTGAAATGGGATCGATACAGTTAGAAGAGGTTGGTTGGTTGGTTGGTTTTCAAGTGACAGTTGTTACCTGTTGGTTTAATTAAAGGGCTTAAAAATGTTTAATCATGTTGTTCACTGTTGATTTGGGGTTGTTTAGTTTTACAGTAACATTTGTATTTGTTCTGGAATGATGAACTTCTGATGGGCTGTCTGCTCAGACGTGCGAAAAGCGTTTTATCTAGCACTCTCTGTAAACAATGCTACTCTATACTGTACGTGGTTTTTAATACACAAGGTTTTGGGTGAACACAAGCTCACATAAAAGCCATGAAAATTGAGTAACTTCATTTTTTTCCTAATGCCTTGCTTGACTTGATAACTAGCCACAGAGTATTTTTTATTTTTTCTTAGGGGACACTGTTATCCCTCTATACATCCCCCAGTGTGGAGAGTGCAAGTTCTGTAAGAATCCTAAAACAAATCTGTGCCAGAAGATAAGGTCTGTATGCTTTTTATTTTGACAGGCAGTATAGTATTTGTTCAATGTATACCTGTTCTAGTTAACTCCTGTCAATTACTTTTGATATCTTTGAAGAATAAATCTCTTGATGTATCATTTAATGACTTGGAAAGTACGTATTTTAGGGAGTCAGTTATGCACTACTTTCCATTTTTCCTTAAGATTTCTTTTCTTTTTTGTCCTTAAATAAATCTGTTTCTCTTTTCATGTGTGTGAAGGTGTAAACTGCTGGCTTGTGTTCACAGCTTTGAAAACATAAATGCTCAGACTCCATATTTAATCCATACTTAAGGGAAGCACTTCAGGGAATTTGGCTCTTGGGAGTTAACACCAAAGCTGTCAAGTGGTACAGAATTATACAGAAAGCGCTTTTTTTTTCCTTAACACCTGCTTCGCAGCTAAATTTCCAGCTTCCATTCTGAAAAAAAGTCTCCCAAACCCGAACAAAAACTCCAGTGACATAATTGACAGGTGCTGTTCAAGGGAAGTGTACTGAAGGAGGTGAAGACAGGGGGGTGTTGCACCATGGCACAAGCAGTTAGCCTTGGTGGCTAACAAGATCAGCATGTTGATAATTTCTTTCAGTGCTTCCATGGAGGAATTAACAGCATGAAGTTTTAGGAGTTTAGCATCTAATTTCTGTGAACTCCTGGGTTTACTGGAATGACTGAAAAATAACGGTGCAAGTATGCAACTGCATCTCTGCTACTTAATGGATACTGTGTGGTGAGAGTATTTACTGCTTAAGACTCTGACTGTACTTTCCTGTCTTTGCCTTAAGAATTACTCAAGGGAAAGGACTCATGCCTGATGGTACCAGCAGATTCACCTGCAAAGGAAAGCAGATTTACCACTTCATGGGGACTAGCACCTTCTCTGAGTATACTGTGGTGGCTGATATCTCAGTAGCCAAGATAGATGCTGCAGCACCTCTCGATAAAGTGTGCCTGCTGGGTTGTGGCATCTCTACCGGCTATGGGGCTGCTGTTAACACTGCCAAGGTAAAGGCTGTGGTTGCCTCTGGCTTTTCTCTGTAACTATATCTGAGCCAAAGTACACAGGTAGCTTAGGGACTAGATTAGGACCGTAAACATGACGTACCAAACTTCTGTTTCTTCTTCCTCTTCAGCTGATGAAGTTTAGCTGAGAATTTCTAACTTCTCCATAAAGCCAAGTCAGGTTAGAAGAACCTGATGCCCTTTAGGGGAAAGCCAGGTAGAAGATTCTGCATCCCTTTTGATACCAGCTATGTATAAATTACTTTTCCAATTCATCTTAGTCTTGCTGCAAGTCATTCTGATAGTTTGAAGCTCAGGGTGAGACAGAGCTGGTAGGTGAATGTGCATGAGTCTAGGGCAGGTTCTGGGAATTGAGTCTTTGGGCAAAAAGAAAAGCTTAGTACCTAAAGAGCTTTTGGTAAGCTGCTTTTTGGTAAGAAATTTCTGTATAGTTTCCCTTATCTAAGTGATAAAGTCTCGTAGCCATGTATGATTTGCTTCCATGTTTCTTTCATTACAGACTTCTTAACCTGTGTTTCCCACTCACGAGGAAGGATGAATTTTCTCTGTGTTGCTCATGGCTCTTTTCTTACTCCTAGGTGGAGCCTGGCTCTACATGTGCTGTCTTTGGTTTAGGAGGAGTTGGGCTGGCAGTTATTATGGGCTGTAAAGTAGCAGGAGCATCCCAGATCATTGGCATTGACCTTAACAAGGATAAGTATGCCAAAGCCAAAGAGTTTGGAGCTACTGAATGCATTAGCCCTCAAGACTTCAAGAAGCCCATACAGGAGGTGCTGGCTGAGATGACCGACGGTGGTGTAGACTACTCATTTGAGTGCATTGGTAATGTTGGAGTCATGGTGAGTGTTTGCATTAACAGTAGTACGTAGAGGGAGGGGATAGCTAGCTGCCACTTAGTTGTTCAGCTAAATAGCAAAATGAGCTGCTTTCTTGTTACAGAAAACATGCCGTACTACTGTATTTATTTTTTAAATAGTAGTGATAACTCCTATGAATAAAAATGCCAATTTACATCCAATCCTAATTACGTAATGAAAGCAGATGCTACTTAGGCTGAAAATGGCACTTATAATTTACAAACTTTTTTCCTTAATGGGAGTTGTTTGAAATCCTGAGGTTTTCAAATGTTGGCAGTTGAAAAATTAACAAAACGCACATAAAATGTATTACACAATGAACAGTAAAATCTCAAGGACCACTCACTACTTCCCTAATTCTGCAAATAATGAATTTAACCTTTGGAAATGCAGAAGTATTAGTGAATGTAAAGCTAGGTTTTTAGGAATTACAACAGCATTCCTAACTGTCAGTAGCATGGTCTACATTGTCTCTGATCGCAGTTTATCCCAACTCCCAGTGGGAGTTCAGAGTGACTTCTCTGGAAGCCAGACGGGATATAAAAAGAGCAAAGTGAATCTTTAAGGAGCCTGAGCCCATGGAAAATTTATACTGTTAATGTCATTTTCAGTGTATTTATTGTTCCTTAAATACTAACGTGGTGATTCATTAACTGGGGGAAAGGAAGTGCAACCTGTGCCAGTCTGGGCAGCATAAACATTAGCAATAAACGCTCTGCTTTGTCCTATCCATCTGTGAAGAGGGCTGCCTTGGAAGCCTGCCACAAAGGCTGGGGAGTCAGCGTGATAGTCGGAGTAGCTGCTGCGGGTCAGGAGATCTCCACACGGCCATTCCAGCTAGTAACTGGGCGGACATGGAAAGGGACTGCGTTTGGAGGTAACTCTCTTTTGGTATGGGGGTAAAAATAATTTACTATGGGTTAAAGCTGGGAAGAACACACCACCTTGCTTTTCCTTGTGCAAGAAATGTACTACTGACAGGCTATTCATAAATGCTGTGTTGACTTTTAAGATAAAGACTTTTAAAATCTGATATTCCTACAGACAGGCTACAAATAAACATATTGCTATGATACCGCACATATTTTGAAGAGAGAATGTAACTATATGCTATTCAGTACTAAAGGAGTGGTATTGAGGGATTGCTTTATCACCGAGTGAAGGTTTGGTTCAGTTTGGTCCAGTGAGAGGACCTAGTCTTTGGGGAGATGGGAACTCACGTAAACATGTTTGTGTTGCTTAATCACTAAGCAAACTGTGGGGCTAACGTGGGAATGTGCTATGAAGAGCTTTAAAATAAAAAGCAGCAAGTGCTTGATACACATTTTCTGCTGTCAAACCAAAAACATGTTGAGACTTACAGCTACTGATAACTTGGGGATTCGGTAATTGCTGAAGTTCATGGAAGCATCCAAACTTGATGTTATTATTACACTGCCCTTTTTCCAACTAATACAAAACTTAGCTGGTTTATAAAGATATGTAGAGGGGCTGATAAGAGATGCCTCATGCATGCTTTCCTAGGTGAGGGCTGCTGTGATGTTGAATGCTGAAGTACCTAGTGAAAGGTTAGTGCACTTACGTGTTTGGATAATGTGTGCTTTTGCCAGACCTAGCTGTCCCCTTGCATTCCTTACTCACTGCCTGCCTAGAGCAGGAGGGACAAAGGTGTCACTGATCTCAGTTCCTTTTCATATTTATCACACAAGTGCCCCTATAAGGGTTGTATTTTTTCCTTCTCTCTGTTTTCCGAGGTGGGCGGAAAGGGGAAAAACAAATGCATGCTTTCTGTTTTTCAG